GGATACATCAAGAACTGCAAAAAGTCGGCTGAGGCATGGAAAAAATTAAAAGATGTCCATCAACCAAGTGGACCAGTACGAAAGGTTCAACTGTACAAGAAATTGCTAAGCAAGCGCATGGACCAGAGGCAAAGCATTTCAAGCTACATAAACGAATTTATTGATATTCTCGATGGCCTTAGTTCGGTAGGAATCGACCTAAATGATGAACTTCGCACAATTGTTTTGTTGTCGAGCCTTCCAGAACATTATGAAAATTTTGTAGTCGCCATAGAGACGCGCGACAGTCTCCCATCTTTTGACGTTCTATGTATAAAACTGAAAGAAGAAGGCGAGAGAAAGGGAAATTCAGAAGAACAAAAGGAATGCGCAACAGCATTTGCTGCAACGCAGAAGCCGGCCGTGCAGAGAGCGCAAAAGAAGAGAAACAAAACAATTATATGTTTCAAGTGTGGTGAGCACGGGTATATGAAGGCTCAGTGTAAGAAAGAGAGCTCAAACGAAGGAAAATCAGCAAGAGGAGAGAACAAGCAGTGCAGCCTATTAAATGCGATGGACACAGATAATTTGAAAAATAGTATGTGGTGTTTGGATAGTGGTGCGACGAGCCATATGTGTTGTGATAAGCAGTTATTCACAAAGTTAGAAAAACACACAGAACTGAATGGCCTGGCTGACTCCGGTTTTCTAAAAGCTGAAGGGAAAGGAGAGGTTCAGCTGAAGACATATCTATGTACGCTGTCGTTAAAAGATGTTCTCTATGTTCCCAAAATGAATGGAAATTTTTTCTCCGTGAGCAGCGCAGTAAAAAATAAATGTTTTGTCACTTTTGGGCAAGAATATGCGAAATTAGTCCAGGACGGTGATTGTATTATAAAGGCAAACAAGGTTGGAAACTTATATATGCTTCAAGGAACACAAAACAGCTGTTCTGTTGCGATTAAGGCTGATGGTGCTTTGTGGCATGAAAGGTATGGCCATTTGAATATCAGCAGTATGAAAGACTTACAAACCAAAGGAATGGTGCGTGGCATTGAAAATATGGTTTTCCCAGCAAGTATGAGTTGTAAAACTTGCATGCTCAGCAAGATTCATGCGCAGCCATTTCCTGTTGCATCCACCAACAGAGCGTAAGACATTTTGGAATTAATTCATGCAGATGTGTCCGGACCATTCGGCACACAATCACTTGCTGGATCGAAGTACTTTCTAAGCTTCATCGATGATAAATCAAGACGTATATTTGTGTACTTTCTACGTACTTTCTACTTTCAATAAGTTTGTCGAGTTTAAAACACTGGTTGAACGGCAAACGGGAAAAAACCTTAAATGTATCCGGAGCGACAATGGCGGTGAATTTTTCAAAAAATCGTTTGATGAATTTTTGAAGAACCATGGGATCGAGAGGCAGCTGACAGTTGCCTACACTCCACAACAAAACGGCGTTGCTGAGAGAGCAAACCGCACCCTGGTAGAGATGTCAAGGTGTATGCTGGTCCAGTCAGGATTAGGCGAATCCTTGTGGGCTGTGGCAGTCAACGCAGCTGTATATGTACGGAATCGATCACCAACAAGTGCGCTGACCAGAATGACGCCTATGGAAGCGAGGACTGGTAAGAAACCTTTTGTTGGTCATCTAAAAGTTGTTGGCTCCATTGCAGTTGCCTTGGACAAGGGTCCAAGGAAGAGTAAGCTTCAACCAAAAGGCAAAGAATATCGCATGATTGGGTATTCGGTAGCAACTAAAGGCTATCGACTGTATGATCCGGTGTCCCATCAGGTGATTGAGAGGCGAGATGTCCTCTTTAATGAGCTCCAAGGCGACAGGGATGCAGTCGTAATCGAGTTTCCTATGAAGGAAGTTACCATGAAGTCGGAAGGTACTGAAGGAAACGCTGATGAGGGTGACAGCGACGATCCTGATGAGAATGACAGCAGCGATGGAGGAAGCAATGTCGACGACAATACCAGTAGCTGCGACTCTAACGCCTACGAGAGCGCAACTAAGAAAGCAGACTCAGATGATACGGTTCCTCGTGTTGGACCTGGCAGACCAAGTGTGATTCGAACAGGCAAACCTGGCCGCCCGAGAAAGAAGTACAACATCCTTGGTTCTCTGGTTGCCAGCAACGTGAAGATTTCATTATCCTATGAGGAGGCATTGAAAAGTACTCAAGCATCACAGTGGTCCGAAGCGATGCAACGTGAATATGAATCAGACATGGCAGTTGGCAGACCTACCAACAGATCATCGGGCAGTTGGATGCAAATGGGTGTATAGCCTGAAACGCGGTAAAGATGGCCAGATTGAGCGGTTCAAAGCACGGTAGGTAGCAAAAGGTTGCTCCCAGCAGTATGGCATAAACTATGCCGAAACATTTTCACCAGTTTGCAGACTGGAGAGCGTGCGATTTATTCTCGCTCTAGCAGCAGAATTGAAATTGTTTGTCAACCAAATGGATGTGTGCACGGCATACCTCAACAGTGACCTGAGTGATACGGTGTACATGAAGCAACCACAAGGGTACATTGAACGATCTCACCCAACTAAGGCGTTGTTGCTTAGAAAGGCAATATATGGATTGAAGCAATCAGGAAGGGAATGGAATGCTAAACTAAATGTCGTCCTTATTAAAGTGGGATTTTTTGCCTGCGATAATGAGCCTTGTCTCTACCAGCAAGTAGGGAAAGGTAACTTATCGTTAATCCTGGTATATGTTGACGATTTACTTATAGCATGCCAATTCAAAGAAGACTTGCTCAGTATTAAATCGGCAATTTCCAATTCGTTCGAATGCGTTGACAAAGGTGTTCCAGAGCTGTTTTTGAGTATGGAGGTGCACCGTGATGGTGAGCTTGGGCCTATCACCATAGGCCATTCGCAATATATCAAGGAACTATTGCAAGCTTACGGCATGGAGAAATGTAGACCAGTGGCTACTCCGTTGGATGCGGGTTTCCAGGTAGATTGTACTGATGGGCAGTGTCAAAGAGTTGATCCTGTCAAGTATCAATCCATGATTGGTGAGCTGATGTGGCTGGCACTCACAACCAGACCAGACATTTTGCATTCAGTTGCAAAGTTGGCTCAGAGAAATCAAGATCCACACGCTGAGCATCTGGCTGGCGTAAAACACGTTCTAAGGTACCTAGGAGCAACGGTCAATTTCAAATTACACTACAAAGAGTGTCATCAGCCTCTGACTGGATATGTGGATGCGGATTGGGGCGGAGACCGAACTGACCGGAAGTCCTATACGGGCTACGTTTATTTTTTAGCAGGTGGTCCAATTTCTTGGTGATCCGAGAAACAACGAAGCGTGGCACTTAGCAGCACGGAAGCAGAATACATGGCACTGTCGGCTGCGTGTAAGGAATCTATATTCTTAGGGCGCTTGATTATCGAAATCGGTTGTGGAGATAAAACTACAGCAACTACCCTCTATGGCGATAATCTGAGCGCGTAGGAGCTGGCTAAGAACCCAGTTCATCACTCAAGGACCAAGCATATTGATATAAGATACCATTTCGTTCGTCAGGTTGTAGAAGAGGGTCAAGTTAACTTAAAGTATGCTAGTACAAACGAAATGATTGCTGATGTCTTGACCAAGAATCTCCCTAAGAGAAAGCCTGTAGAATTTACTAAAATGTTAAGTTTAAATTGAATCAAATGAATTTGTAAGCATGCTCGCATTGAGGAAGGGTGTTGAAAATTACCATTGCTATCAATGCACGCATGTATTGACACACATATGAATATTTACATGTATGGGTGAGAGACGTGTCGAAGCAACGTCTTCTTATCTTCTTTTTATTTTTTGTTTTCTTCTTTGGTTTCCATCTGCCTGCGGGCAGAACTTCTCAGTCAGTCACAAATAAACATTGCAAATGAACGAACGCAACGGCTACTTCTTTTCTGTTAAAATATAATTTCCACGGCATTGGTCAAACTCTGTTCAACAAACATATGATGGGCTCAGACAATGAATCCTAATAATCCAATGGCAAGTATTGCATAAATTATCCATAGTGATCCAAAAGTTTACTTTTTTCCTGATTCTTGACTAATAATATGAGAAATTATTCCAAATCCGGGTAAAATCAAAATATAAACTTCTGGGTGACCAAAAAATCAAAATAAGTGTTGGTATAAAAAAGGGTCTCCTCCTCCAGCTGGGTCAAAAAAAGAAGTATTTAAATTTCGGTCAGTTAATAATATAGTGATTGCTCCGGCTAGTACTGGTAAAAATAATAAAAGTAAAAGAGCTGTGATTACTACTGATCAAACAAATAAAGGTATTCGGTCAAGAGTAATACCAGAAAATCGTATATTAATAACAGTTGTGATAAAATTTACTGCTCCTAAAATAGAAGAAATACCTGCCAAATGAAGAGAAAAAATTGCTAAATCTACTGATGCTACACCATGGGCAATCCCAGATGATAAAGGTGGGTATACTGTTCATCCAGTACCAGCTCCATTTTCAACTATTCTTCTTACTAATAATAAAGAAAGAGCTGGGGGAAGTAGTCAAAATCTTATATTATTTATTCGTGGGAAAGCTATATCGGGGGATCCTAATATTAAAGGACTAATCAATTACCAAACCTTCCAATTATAATAGGTATTACCATAAAAAAAATTTGATAAACGCATGAGCTGTAACAATTACTTTATAAATTTGGTCATCTCCAATTAGAGCTCCTGGGTGTCCTAATTTAGATCGAATTAAAATTCTTAGAGATGTTCCGACTATACCAGCTCAAGCTCCAAAAATAAAATATAATGTTCCAATATCTTTATGATTTGTAGAAAATAATCATTGTCGCGATTAAGTGGCTGAAGTTTAGGCGATAGATTGTAAATTTATTTATAAGAGTTATTCTTCTTAATCAATGGTCTTATAGTCAACTGTTGGAAGCTGCCGAGCTTTTTCGGCAACTCTGACTCCACATTTACAATAATTTACTCCGTTGGTTAAGTTTACAAATGTTTTTTATTTTCACGACGGGTTACAAATGGTTTGAGGCCGTGGCCGTGAACTACGACTCGATGCGTTCGACGAATCTTTGGACTGCACCGAGAACAGGGCGAAGCAATGCACTATAAGCAGTACTGGCATATGTGCGTGTGTACGGGAGCGTACTGAGAGAGCGATAAGTATAAGCAGTATAAGAGATGATGTATGACTATATGATATTAAGAAGAACTATTATCGGCTGCTGCTCCGAACATACTCCCCCCCGTTGAAAGACTAGGGCTTTTAACAGGATCCTCAACGGGTAGGACGCACAGCTTGTTGACAGCTCGACGAGTGGTTCCAGACGGTGTTCTCAGGACGGCAACTCGCACAGTGCCATCAGCTCCAGCGATGATGTCGATCACCCGTGCTAATGGCCACTTCAACGGCGGCAAGTTTTCGTCCTTTATACAGACGATGTCGTTGACTTGGATCGATGGCTGCGGTGTGCGCCATTTGGCACGTTGTTGTAGCAGAGTCAAATACTCCTCACTCCAACGCTTCCAAAAGATCTGCTGAGCACAGGCGACTCTTTGCCAGCAATCTAGTCTGTTAAAGTTTAGATTTGTAACATCAGGCTCGGGAAACTCCATCAGCGGACGACCAATTAGAAAATGTCCTGGTGTAAGGACGCCAAGATCTTCAGGGTTTTCTGAAATTGCGAGAAGAGGACGAGAATTTATTACAGCCTGGATTTGGCAGACCAATGTCCGCAGCTCGTCAAAGCCAAAGAGTGACGATCCCAGGGAGTGATATAAATGCTGCTTGGCCATCTTCCCTGCTGCCTCCCACAAGCCCCCGAAGTGGGGTGAGCGAGGCGGGATAAACTTCCAATTGAAGCCATTGTTGATGCAATGATTATGAACTGCATCACGATGCTTCTCGCTCATAAACAGCCGCCGAAGGTCCTCCAACTCGTTCCTTGCGCCCACAAAATTGGTGGCATTGTCCGACCAAATGCATCGGGGTATGCCGCGCGTGGCAACGAAGCGTTTGAGGGCACTCAAAAATCCAGCAGTTGTGAGGTCCTTCACTAATTCCAACCAAACGGCCTTTGTTGCAAAACAGATGAAGACGCTGATGTAGCATTTTGTAGGCGTTCGAGTGCGGCTATCTGGCTTGTAATAGAAGGGACCACAGTAATCGATTCCAGTGACGCTGAATGCAGGCGAATCCTGCACTCGATCCTTCGGTAGGTCAGCCATTATGTGTTCCACAAGACGAGGTCTCGACCTGCAGCAGATGATGCATTTCCGCAACGCTCGAGCAACAGTTTTCATGCCGCCGATGGGCCAGAACTGCAAGCGAATAGATCCCAGTAGAGACTGCGGCCCAGCATGGTGATGCTTCCGATGAAAGTGGATGATGATGGCGAACGTCAATGGATGATCCCTGGGCAAAATTATTGGGTGGCGTGCATCGAAGCCAAGAGTTGAGTGCCGCAAGCGGCCACCAACACGAATCAAACCAACGTCATCTATGAAAGGCGAGAGAGATATAATGCTGCTGGAGGACTCCACACAGTTCCCCTTCTGCAGAGCACGGCACTCAGAATACAAGTGGGCCCGTTGAATGATGCGACACAGCAAATGCGATCCTTAGCGAAGGTCTTCAGACGTGAGATCAGGTGACTTTTTCTTACTGATGAACTTATTAACATACCCAAAAATGCGCATCATAACTCCGAATGAGTTTAAGTGCTTAAACGAAAGCGTGATGTCGACACGCACAGACGACAGCAATACTCGATGCCTAATTTCCGGAAGACTGAGTTCGGGCGAACAACGTTCAGGCCAGCTACTTCTTTTGCCTTGCAAGAAAGAAGGTCCATTCATCCACAACCTAGACTGCAAGAGCTCCTGAGGCGCTGATCCCTTTGAAAGAATGTCAGCCGGGTTCATTTCAGTTGGTACATAGCGCCAATCCATGCCCCTCGTAAGTTGCTGTATTGCGGAAATCTTGTTAGACACAAACACGTTGAATTTGGATGGTTCCTCTCGCAACCAAGACAGTACCACAGTTGAATACGACCAGCAATGGATCGGGCAGTCGAAGGTATCGATTTTCCTAATTTCGCGAAGTAAATTGGCTAACAGGAACGCTGCACATAGCTCAAGCTTAGGCACCGTGAGGGTTTTCAATGGTGCAACTCTAGCCTTCGAGCAAAGCAAATGTACCTCATCGGCGGTATCCCTAAACGAACGAGCGTAGATACAAGCCCCATAGGCCTGGAGGCTGGCATCACAAAAGGCATGCAACTCAAACCTTGCCTTAGGTTGAAGTATATAACGCGGAAATGTAGCATTACCCACAGTAGCGAAGTCCTTGCAAAACTCAGTCCAAGCCGATTCCAGTGGCTGAGGAAGACTTTCATCCCAATGCAGCTTGTCTCTCCACATGCGCTGCATGATGATTTTCGCTCTGGTCAATGTGGGTCCAATCAATCCCATAGGATCATAGCACCGTGCAATGGTTGACAACACCGAACGCTTAGTGTAAAGTAAACAGGAACTTGTCCCTCTGGGGTTCCCAGATGAGTCCAAGCGCCTTGGTCACATCGCTGCCATCATCGAGCTTCAGAAAACTTTCCCTTTCTGCCTCAGGGACGAAGAACATCAGGAGAGTTTGAACACCATTTCCTTAACTGAAAATTGCCACAAGCAAGAAGCTCCGTGGTTTGACGCATAATATCCAGCACTTCCTCGACTGAATTTCCTCCAGAAATCATATCGTCTACGTAGAAGTCCTGTAGAATGGTTTCCGAACCCAATGGATACGAAGACGACTCATCCATGGCCAGCTGATGCATAGCTCGAATAGCTAAAAACGATGCAGGCTTAGTCCCATAGGTGACGGTGTTTAGCTTGAAGATCTTTATATCGTCGTCAACAGAGTCCCTCCACAAGATGCATTGGAGCATGGTGTCGGGCATTGAGACACGCACGCACCTATACATCTTACCGATATCGCCTGTAAAAGCAATGGAAAATGTACGAAATCGAAGGAGAGTGTGAAACAGCTTGGATTGAATGGTGGGACCTGACATAAGCAGATCATTCAACGAGAGACCAGATGTGTTAACTGCAGAGCCGTCGAATACGACTCTCAGCTTTGTCGTGGAGCTATCCTCTTTAATGACGCAATGATGCGGCAAGAAATATCTGCACTTGTGTCTATCTTCATTTGGAACCAGAGACATATGATCAAGGGACAGGTACTCCTTCATAAATGCCGAATATTTCGAATATAAAACTGGATTACGCACGAACTTGCGCTCCAAATTTTCCAACCGCCGCTTTGCTTGCAAGTAGGAATCGCCCAAGGACTCCAGACTTCGCTTCATGGGCAAGCTAACAGAATATTCTCCTGAGGGTAATCGAGTGTGATGTTTCACAAAGTGGTCCTCGCAGTGCAGCTCCTCCTTTGTTGCCCTAACGATTGGCTCAAAGATGTGCTCCACTTCCCAAAATTGACGAACCAACTCATCGAGCCGAGTGCTGTGATTGATGTCATCCGAAGATTGGGTTGCGATGAACGACGAGTTATTGAGGGCCGAGTGCCCGCCACCAGAAAGAATCCATCCTAGATGTGTCTTCTGCAGCAACGGTAGTCCAGGCGCCAGCTGAATTTGCCCCACACACAGCAACTCGAAGAAAAGTCCGGCTCCGATGAGCAGGTCAATCCGCTGTGGCTTATGGAACGAAGGGTCAGCAAGCTGGATATTCGACGGTATAGGCCAACCAGCAGTGCTAACTGTGATGCTAGGTTGATGGTCCGCGATCTTCTGGGCAACGACGGCAGTGATGCTAGTGGTGAACTCTGAAATCCGCGATTTCAGAACGAGATCCACCGAGATACCTTCTGTTGGGAAGCTAGCATCTCCTATGCCAGAGACAGCGGTAAGCGATTTGGTTGTTCGAAGTTTTAGCTGATTAGCTAGGCGACTAGTTATGAAATGCAATTGCGATCCCGAATCCAAAAATGTGCGACATGGCACGAAAGTTCCAACGCTGTTTTTTACTATATCGACGGCGGTGGCTAAAAGCACAGCATAAGATGGACTGTGGGATGTAAAAGCTTGAGGCAAGGAGGGTGATACTGCAACCATGGCGTTACGACTTGGTTGTGCTGGTGAGGCTTCAATTGGAGGAACAGATTGGGCAGCCTCTGTTGGACGAATGAAATGCAAAAGAGTGTGGTGCTTCGATCGGCAAGTGCGGCAGGGACCTGATCTACAATCTCTCAATTGATGGCCTTTTCGTAGGCAATTAAGGCATAGCAAGAGCCTCTTGGCTTCCAGGCGACGATCATTCGGCGATAGAATTGCAAACCGTTCACAATTGGCAATCATGTGATGAGTACTCTCGCACAGTTCACAAGAAACTGGAGCGTTCGATGCTACAAATGTCTTTCTTTGATGCGTACTCACAGTTTTTCCGGACTTGCCAACCTGACCATCTTGTCCTTGTCCTTGATCCACATTTTCAAGCGTGCGACATCTTTTTTCCAAGAATCCAGACAGTTTCTCCCAAGATGGCAGCTCTTGATTCGACGAAGACTCCTCCCATCTATTTTGAGAGGCTTTGTCCAGCTTCTGAAGAACAGTCTGCACGATAATGCAATCCGCCACTTCTTCCTTGCTGGCAAGCGACTCCATAGCACGAATATGCGATGTAACTCTGTCGGTCAATTCTCTCAACCTGCCCACCGATGCGTCAGCCTTCTCCAACCCAAATATCCCTCTGATGTGTGCCTGCAAAATAAAACGTTTATTGTCAAAGCGTCGCTTCAGAATGTCTAATGCTACGATATAATTAGCTTCATTTATTTCCAACGAGCTGATGGTATTCAGGGCTGCGCCACTCAAGCAGGAACGTAGATGCTGCAGCTTTTCGATAGGGCTCAGCTCAGACTCCTTGTCAATAATCGTGGTGAACATTGAGAAGAAATTGGCCCACTCCGTATAAATTCCACTGAATTTGGGCAGGACCAGATGAGGTAACCGAGATCGATTGGACATTATGACGATTGACTGCGATTCACTAGAGTTGGCGTTGAATGTGGAACAATGCTTATTACTCGAGCGATTTCCAAGCTCGCGCTGAAGAATGGTCCTCAACGACAATATGGACGAGTCGAATTTGGCAGGAATTTCACTGGACATTGACTCAAAATCCACTTCCTCCAATCTGGTGTGTGCCACAACAAAATTTGACTTAAGCTCCGTCAATGATTCCAACAGCCCTCGCAAGTCGTATTCATCCATTTGACGCAACTTTTCACTATCCATCTCTGTGCGTATGGACTCTAGCCGATCGAAAATAGCTCTAGCCTTCAGTCTCATGAAGGAAATACGAGATACCGGAACAGGGACTTGGGTGCTGGCTGCATTCGCACTAAAACTTTCGCCCGATGGAGCAGCGCCAAATGTCACAGAATCACTTTCATTGTCCATAGCAAACGATCCACTCTTTCTGCTATTCTTTTTCTTGCCCATGGTTTTGGTTATAGAAAACGGTTGACGCGGAGGGTGCTAGTCGATCACAATTAAATATTATTACGCAACGCGCGAGTTCAAACGAGTTCAAAACGAGTTCAAACGCCTTTGCGTTCACTTTTTTGGCACTTATATATGCGATAGGTATGCACCGG